CACACTCCCCTAAATCATAGATACTTATGAGTTTAAATAAATATTAATTAAGCAGCAGGTATAAAGTTCATTAAGATCATTCACTTTGACTTCCTGATTGTAGATATTTTCGCATAGCAAGATTCTTTCGAGAGAACTCGGACAATTAGCCAGTTATACATACATGCTATATATTTATGCAAAGGTTACATTTATAAAATAAGGAGCAATTGACCTATAATATGCACTATAATATATGCATCATTAACCCCACCTCATCATGACTAACTGAGTCACCCAGTTAGCAATAGGTTGACCTGATTAACAGACCTTATACGGGTTACCTGAGTAACTCTTATACGGGTATAAGCTCTAACTAATAGTTTGTTAGGTTGATCTTCATTAAAGATATAATGAAGTTAAATCAAATAGGTTTAATATCTAAATCTTTAGTAAATTATGTATAGTTAATTGTTTTGTAAGAATGATTTAGATATAAGTAAAGTCTAGCAAAATTTAAAGCAATATGAATATGATTTAAAATAGTATATAGTAGTATATTAGTATAAGAATAGAAAATTTGTTTGTAATTAAGTTTGGTAAATAAGACTTCAGTAAATAATCTAATAAGTATAATAAAAGTAGAGTAGAGTGTATTAAAAGGAATTTCAATATTATGACTTATTTCTGAATTAGCTTTATAGATAAAATTTGTTAGAAATTCTAGACTTTGCCTTGCTAGAGAGTAAAGAAAATATATAAAAGAATATTTGAATTTTTAGTTAGAATTTTCTGTATTTAATTTGAATTATTGATTATTTTGTTGATATAGTTAACTAGGTTTGAAGTCTTTAAAGTAAGGTTAGATGAATTTGAAGATTGTAAAAGTAAGAGGAGTATTTAGTTTTATATATTGTTTCATTTTATCAGTAATAAGATAATTAGAAAACTAGTTCAAATCTTTAGAATTATCATGTGTAAATTGAGTTTTGTTAGTAGAAAAGGAAGTTTTAATTTATTTGAGAAAATTGCATTTGTTTTGTTTAGATTTAAGAATATATTTGATAGTACTAGTGAAGAATTTTTAGTAGGAAGTAAGAGGCTCAGGTTTGAAGAAAGAGATTGGCATTTTTCAAAACAAGTTTTGTGAATTAGTCTTTTTTTTATGATAGCTGTAGTAGAATCTTGAATGTGTAGAAGAAGCACAGATAATATTTTATAAATAGCAAATTGCACAAGTATGAGGATGATATGAGTATATAGCAAAAGTGGTTGTTATCAAATCAATATTTTCAGTAGAGACAAAAATTACAGAAGAAATGAGTAATGTAAAAGTTGTTTAAGCAGTAAGTTTAATTAGCGATAGTAGTAGAAGTTCACTTTTATTGAAGAGTTTGTTATTAAGTTTAGTAATTAGTGTAGAGGTTGTAGCAGGAGTTGGAGTAGATAGTCTAGAAGTATTATTATATTTGAATCTTTAGGAGGTAAAAGTAGTATAATATTTTCTACACAAGCAAGTTGCAACTTGTAGTTGCTTTGGAACTCGTATATAATATTAGTTTTATTTTGTAAGCTCATATTCCTGAAGAATAAAGCAAGCAATAAGAACATGTACTTTGCTAGCATCTGCTTCAATAAAACTAATACTATAGTAGTTCAAGTAGTAGAAGAAAAAATAGTCAATATTATATGAGTCTAGAGTAGAAGTAACTAAAGTAGGCATATTAGTAGAGTATTTAGAAAATATAGGAATAGAAAAATTAGAGAAAAATGATAAATAAAAAAAAGGCAATTTCTATTTGAATACAGAATATTAATATACTAGATAGTATAAAAGTATTAGAAAAGCTAATCAAAATTCAAGATCAAGTATAACATGTAAATCTTTTTTGTATAACTAAAATAAAGAATTTTTTTAAAAAAATAAGAATATTTAAAAATTTTGCTTATAAAACTGCCTTTGAGGCTCTAAGTAAAAAAATTTCTTGCTTAATTCTATATATAAACTTTGTTCTAACCCAAATCCTAGACCTCACCCTAACTCTAAAGTTAATTAAATTTTTTTTTTTTATAAAAAATTATTTATTTTTTATAAAAAATTAAAATCCATGTTTCAAACACTAGGTGTCAAATTAGAATTATTCTAAAAAAAATTAGAAATTTAGTAAACAAGGAATATGACAAATAAGAGGTGTAATGAATAAGGGTATGATGAATAAAGGTGTGATAATTAAGAATATAATGAATAAGATATGACAGATAAGAGGTAATAAATAAGTGAGTAACAGTAATATGTTACAATAAAGTTGATAAATGTATAACAAGGTTTTGTACTAAAAATAAAAAGAAACTAAATTTAGAATTTAATTAAATTATATAAGATTGATATTTTGGTATAATAGGAATTTGTAAGCCTGTTATAACCTGTTTAAAACATGTTAGAGTTAACCAGATCAAAGAGAATTTCTCAAAATTTGCAAAAAAGAGAGAACAAATTTTTGCAAAAATAATTTTAGAGTTTTTTAAATAAAAAATTAAATATCAGACCATTTTTAATACATATATATCAAAATAAAGCTGAGAATTTGTTGGTTCTTTTTGTATTAAGTAAGAAAAGCTAAATACTTAATAAAATTTTAAGGTATTAGCTGTAGAATGTTTCTATGCTTTAGCTAGAATATCTTGTTGAAGAGCTAGTTACAAGATATAAAACTATATTGTCTAGATGTAAAATTATATATAAAATAATTTTACTTAAGTGGCCAAAGGTAGTTTACTTTATAGAATTTTAAGATATTACAAGTTTTTTTTCAAGAGAATTTGGTACAAGTAATTATCAGAAAGAGTTAGTAATTTGTATTCAGTTCTTTTATAAAATTTTAAAATATATTAATTATAAAAATTTGTACTTTTATATATCATAAAGTTTTCCTAGGTTAACTCAAATTTGCTTAGATAGTACAAAATAACAAATTCTAATTAGTTAATTTTTGCAATTCTATAAGATAAATTTTATAATAAAAAATTATACACAATCTTTAAATTCTAATAAATTAATGAGTTTTTAACTAATTTTAATAATTTTATTATTGATAGAATTACAAGAATCTACTCTACAACTTTATTTAGAAGCTTAAAATAAATTTAATTAATAAATTATTTTGTATTTTAAATTACAAAAAATATTTATTATTAAGTTTATATATAATTTTAAAATAGTACACTTCACTCTTAATTTAAACTTACTTTTTTAATTGTTTCTTTGATAGTTCTATCACATTCTTCCTGTATCTTTTTTTTTTATATTGTTCTGTTAGAATATATAGCCTCCAATGAGTAGATTCTAAGTGCTACTATAATAGTCAGATTGTGCCTTCACTTTCACAAGAAAATTCTTTGTAGTTGCAGTTTTGAACAATATATTTAGCTGTTTTTATTTTTTTTTCTATATAATTTTTTTAAAGAAATTCTACACCTTACTCTCTAAACTTCATTTTTTGATAACTTTATTATTGTAGTCATAGTTAATATTATGATTATTGTTATTATCATTGTTATAGTTATAGTCATTATTATAGTTATAGTTATAGTCATTATTATAGTTATAGACATTATAGTATTCATAATTGCTATTATAGTTAAGATCACTATTGGAACTTATCAGAAAGCAGATAATAAAAATTTGTATGATAATAATAGCTATATATATATATATATAAGTAGACTTTTATAAACTTTAACTAAACTCTATATAGATTTTAGTTTAATATTACACAAAATCTTTACTTTGTATTACTTATCTATTACTACAAGTTACTTGTTATAGTAAACTTTTAATATAGTGAAGTAACTTGTATTAAAAAAATAAATTAAATAAATTAATAAATTAAATTATAAAAAAATAAATAAAAAATAAAAAATAAAAAAAAAAATAAAAAAAATAAAAAAAAGATAAAATAAAAAAAAATAAAAAAATAAATAAAAAAAATAAATAAATAAAATAAATAAATAAAAAAATAAGTTTATAGAGTAAAGTTCTAGGATCACTTATATTTTACTATATTAACTAAACTACTAGTTTAATTAATTTAACATTTCTAATTAAATAGCACAATTAAAATTATATTTGACTTATTATTCAACTTGCTATTCAATACTTTAATCTAAATTTACAAACATTTATATTTATGAAGTCATATTAGTATTGAATAGCAAGTTAAATAATATTCTAATCATAGTATATTCTATTATATTAAATCTGAACATATTCATGAACTTCAGACTGAACTCAGACTTGAACTAATATTTAAGTTTGGTATCAGTTCAGATTCATAAATTTTGGGTTCAGTTCAAGTTCAAGTTCAAAATTTTTAAAATTTACAGTTCAAATTCAGGTTTAGCTAAACCCAAATCCAAATCTATTCAAACCAAACCTGAATCTAAAAACACTAATATATAGCTTCTATAATATATATAGCCTGTAATATTTCTAATATTTTGTAATATATAAAAATAGTATATATAGACTTTGATTTCATTATTGAGTCTTCATATTCTTTTACAATAAAAGTACCTTTCTAATACTTTGAAATAAATATTTATTGATATTTTTATATATCTTTAATTGTTGCCTCTTTTATAATTGCAAATTACCTTAAATCTTCTTTGTTAAGTTTTACAAAAATGTTCTAAAAACTTTGACAAAATACAGTAACAAGGAATATTACACAAAGTATTTTCTGTTATTAGTCTCTCTATTTAGTTGTTTTTTCTAAAAAAATAAAAACAATATAACAATATACTCATGTATATAAACATAGATGCAATAGTCAAACTACTAGTATAAGATATAAAATAGTATATGAAAAATAGGTAACACATAACAATATATGATAAACAGAGTCATGTAAACTAATCAAATACTGAGAATTGCATATATATATTAACCTACCTGTAAACTATACACTATATACTTCATACTTCATTTCTAGTAAAATAACAAAATGTATCAAAAAAGTAATCTAACTATAACTAAATTCTGCTTCATAAAAAAGTATAAACTGGTTCTGGTATAGAACTTGACCTAAGGTTTAGTTAAGCTAAGGTTTGGTAATTTAATGTAACAAACAATATCAATCTAAAAATCAATCTAAGTTGGAAGGCTAAAAGAAGGTATAAAGAATTTGGTCTGAGTTTTAGGGATCTTGTGAATTGTCTTGGTTAAGAGATGAGTATTTTTTGTGCTTCTTGTCTTGGTTAAGAGATGAGTATTTTTTGTGCTTCTTGTTTTTTGATTCGAGCTGTTTCCATTTGATTCTTTATATTTTGATTTTTGTTACATGGCATGTGATTTGGTCTTCTTTGGAATTGGTTACTGATTTTAACAATAGGGATTGTTAAGCGATGTGTTTTTATATAGAACTATATAAGGGGTGATTGATTATTGTTATCCTTAAATTGATCGAAATTGGATTATCACGGAGGTGTGGTTTACTGATAACGATGTTTTAACAATGGGAAACTAGAACACAAGACTTCAACTCAGATTTCGAAGTATTGTTTCTGTAAACACTGAACTTTTGAGAGTTTTATTCGAACTCAGTCAAAGTATTGAACTTGAAAGTTAGACTTTCCAGTTATTTTTTATTTGAGAGCAACTTGTGTTGCTTTTATAAACAAATTTAGATATGAGAAAAATGATAAAAATAAATAAAATAAAAGAGATAATTCGGATCCTTTCTTTCTGAAGGATAAAATCGATCCTTCAGATTATTTTTATCTAAAGGATAAAAATGATCGATCCGATCGTATGAATCGGACATATCAGGCTTGGTACTACATCGGAAGGTAGTACATTCGGGGTAGGGTATTTTTGACTTTTACATCCTCTTTAACCTCCCCCAAAATTAGTAATGATCTTCCTGCAAAGATTTTCTACTAGTGTAACATTTAACCTTTGTTTTTCGTTGCATGACATTTTTATAAGAATGAAAAAAAGGAGAAAGAACGTAAAGAAGTATAGATTTCCGAATATTCTTTGTATATAATGCCTGGAGACAAATTTCCGCATAGTTTAACCAATGCAAAAAAATATTTTTTCTTCCTTTTTTTTTTTTTTTGAGTTGTAACTTTAAGATTTATTAAAAATCAAAATATATAATAAAATAATAATAATAATACTAATAATATAATAATAATAAATATATAACAAGAATTTACATTTATATACTTAATATTTTTAAAATTAGCTACTTTTTAATCTCTTTTCAACTCACTAATAATACAATATTAGACTTTATCATAACTAAATCAAGATCGTATGCATTTTTCTGAAAACGAAACTCAAAGATTACAAAAAAGGTATCGTTTTTTATGAAGTGAGTGCTATTAATGTAAAAAAAAAAAAAAAAATTAAAGACGGCAATAAATATCTCACAAATTGATATACATATTAAACAGATGAAGACAATGCCTACTCGTATGATATCAGGTAGATTCATGCATGATGTTCTCGTAGCAATTTTTCAAAGGTTCTATATCAGAATTTTAATATGTATTATAAATATGAAATACTAATAAATATACAGAAGAAAGAAAAAAATATATAAAATAATAAATACCAGAAGACGCGTTATCAGAAGGAATTTCGATTGGTAATTCAATATTTCGAGCTGTATTTACAGGTATATATGCACGTTTATATACATGCAAATCATATGGATAAAAAAAATTCCTAGTGAAGAACTTATAATCGTACATACATAAATCAATTATTAGTACTTTGCCATCATCTGTTCTTGAGATTATGCCAGATTCTTGAACTGCATTGTAGGTAATGTATAGATAATTATATTGTACGTATAAAAAAAAAAAAAAAAACTAGAGAAAAGCTTTATAATCATACATACGTATATCTAATATCGAATCAAGAGGATTATTTGGGAATGAGTTCATTAATACGTCTGGGCTAGGTTCTTGAGCTGCATTGACACGCTATAATTATAAGTATAAAAAAAAAAAAAAAAAATAGAGAAGAGTTTTATAATCGTACATACATGATGATATCAAGTCAGTATAATAATTTGAGGAGGTATGGGATTGAGAACTTTCCATAGAAGGCGAAGGACTTTTTTCAGTTTTCTCTATACTTGGTTGTTGAGTTACTGATTTTTGACGTTCTAAATCTGCCGTATCTTGCTGTTGTTCAGGATAACCAAGAAGTCTATACTTATTCAGACAAGCCTCGAAGTTTGGATCTTGATTACCAGGAGATCTTT